AACATTGTAACACCCTTCTAAAACTTACCAGCCTTCCATAGAGCCCAGGAATATTCCCACATTTCTTCTGCTGGAGCAGAGCCTCGAGCACTTTTCCTCGGCTGCGACTTTGTGCCAAAGAACTTTTGGCTTCTTCCACTTTTCGGCGCAGGTTTCTCATGAGATCCTTGGTCCCACATTCTTCCCTTTCCAACTTCTCCAGAGCTTTCTCTTTCTGGGGGGGTTCAAAGATATTGGCTCAGCCTCCCAAAATCTACTGGATTCAGGGAGTTTTCAATGCATGGCTTTGTTCTTTGGGAATGATTGAGGAGCAAGAATTGGAATTTAAAGAATGGTTTGGGTTGGGAAGGACATTAAAGGTCCTCCAGTGTCACCCCAGCCATGGGCAGGGACAGCTCCCACTGTCCCAGGCTGCTCCAATGTGACACTTCCAGGGATCCAGGGACAGCCACAGCTGCTCTGGACACCTGTGCCAGGGCCTCAGCCCTCTGAAGAAGGCTCAGGAATGCAGCCACATCTCAGTGTGAAATTAAATCTATCCCCTTGCAGAGATATGTAGGATTTAATTTAAATCAACACTGGCTTAACAAAGCAAGTTTGAAATCCAATATTTGCTCCACCAGCAAAGTGACTATTAAACAGCTTTTCAACGTTGTTTTAAAGGAGATGGGTCATGGTTCATTTTCACCACGATTATTGCCACGGAGAAGAGTGGGCTTTGCTTTGTGTGTGACCCAAAATGAAATGGGAAAGTCAAGGCTCACCTCCCTGAGCTGCTGCTCAGCCTGGGGTAATTTCCCAGCAATGTCTTTGATGGAAGCTTTCCTTTCCTTCAGGGTGTTGGAGGTGCTGCCCAGGGCCTCCTGGGCCTGGCTGAGCTGAGCCACAGCAGAGTTGTACTTGCTCAGGTAGAGCTCCAGCTCTGCCTGTGCTATCTCCATGTTGGAGCGGGTCTCGGTCACCTCCCTGCTGAACTCCATCAGCTCCTTCTCCTTGCCCTGCAGGAAGAGGCAGGGACAGCTCAGCCCCACAGCTGGCCACAGGGCAACAGCAAATGGGATGGATGTGCTTTAACAGCCCTGGCAGCAGGAAACACTTCTGCTCCAGGGGACAAGCAGCATTTCTTCATTCATGAGTATTAATGGCATTTCCTAATTATAAAGAACTTCAGGGAGTTATCACAGAGCATTTCCATACAAGCTTTGTGTTATTTTCTCAAAAGGTGGGAGGAGCTCTACACATTGAGCTAAATTACAGCTCAAATCCACATTATCAAGGCCAGAAAACAACCCTGCAAATTTCCAGGATAAATTTCCAGCTTCCAGGTACTGAACACCACCACCAAAATAACTAAATGTTAAAGTAGTTGTCCATTAATTCACAGAGTGGGGGAAATGCTGGGAACAGATCATTCCAGAATATATTTATTTAAGCAACACCATTGGCTTAAATGTTTTGGTGGCAGAAAATCAGAGTGTATTATTTATATTAAATCTATGAATGATCTGCTTGATGATGCTTGAGCATTGGAAAAGCAGCCAAGTGTTTGGCTGTAATTATTAATTTAAGATTAATTTCCCACCAAATTGTCAATAAATGCATTTTCCAAGTGCCTGGTGCTGATTTCCTTTAGAAGAGTGAAGTTACAGCAGGTGGATAATTCCAATTCCTGCACGTCCAAACCTCTTTTTCCTTCTGAATTCCCTTGGTCTCCTCCTGCAGGCTGGCCAGGACCTGCCTGAGCTTGGTCTCCTCCTTGTCCTTGGCCTTTGCCAGCAGTTCCCTCTTGGCTGTGGCCTCCTCGATGGCTTTGGTGCTCGTGGAGGGGACGTTCTTCAGCTCCTCCACCTGCAGCAGGAAAGGATTTGGAGCCTCCTGTGGCCCTGGGACAGGAATTCCTGAACCCCCCCCCCTCTTCTCCCTCTCAGTGCCCGAGTGGATAACACAGATCCATTCATTAACTCCATTCATTAACTCCATTCATTAACTCCATTCCTGCAGTGATCAGCAAACACAACCTCGGGCTGATTTAATGATTAAAAATATCTGATTAAAACTATTCCAACCCCATTTTCCATTTTCTTTGTGCCCTTCCCATTTTCTCCCACAATGAACTGCTCTTTTCCAAGCCAATCCATCTCCCTTTACCTTTTCCTTGTCCTTTTGATGCTGCTTCTCCAGTTTTTTAGCTTTGCTCTTGGCATGTTTGAGATTCTCCCTCACTTTCACATCCTGCAAATCCAACTGAGTGAATTTTTCTTTATTTTCCTCTATGAATTTCGTAATTTTATTGAATTTCCTGAAGGGGAAAAAGAAAAAAAAAAAAAAAAAAAGAATGATTTCATACAGTATAAAAATAAGGCTTGGTTTAATAAGTCAACATGAAGAATTTAAACTATTACTCAGGTTTTGTGATTAACAACATCCAATATTGACTATATTCCCAGCATTTCCCTGGGAAAATGATGTTCCAACTACCCAAGCAATATTAAACATATTTTCAGAAATATTCATTTTTTTCTTGACAGAACTGATAATTCCCATCTCTCCCCAGTAATTCCCTGAGATTGAGCAGGTCAATATTGCAGCTGGATTGGGGATCAGCACCCAGGTAAAGCAATTTTAAGAAACACAATTTTTGCATAAATGATTCATGAATAAACCAGAGAAAAATTTCCCCAATCCATGTCCCTAAGCATTAGGGTTGTAAATCTAAAAAGCATTTACTAGTTGGTTTTTTTTGTACAATCAATATAAAGAAATATTTAAAAACCATTCCAAAGATCAGACATTTCCTTATTGTAATTGTGAATCTTACCCAAAACCAAATCAAACCAATATGAATTTGCTTTAATTTATTTTTGTGCATTTATTTAGATGTTTCTTTGTGTATTTAGATGTACCAGAAATGACTCTGCTCATCAGATAATTTAATTTTTTGGTGGGAAACATGTAAAACATGGTATTACACATCCCTAAAGTACTCACTTCTCAAGATCTTTCAAAGCTTTATTCTTGGTTTTTGTTTCCTCTGCAAGTTTACTGCTTTTCTCATTAACATTTTTAGTTTCTTCATTAATTTTTTCCTTCTGCACTTCCAGGTCATTTATTCGTTTCTTTAGGTCATGGCTAGGAAAATAAAACAATAAATCCTCACTTTTCTCCATCTTCACAATGAATCTCTAGTTCCATTTCTCAGTGTTAACAACAGGATTATGTAAAGTATCAAAAAATAACAATCATTTGGAGTTAGAAATAGAAAATATTTCTAATTAGAGATACTGAAGCAATTAGAGCCATATTAGAACCAAAGCCTGAGAATTACTTACATGTAATACTGACAGATTTTATTCTTTTCCTTAAATATTTGATTTTCCAAGCAAAGGAACTCAATGGCTTTATTCTTGTCCTCTTCCAAGGCATCTTTTTCTTTCTCCACCATTTTAACTCGATTTAACTGGAGGAAACAGAAGGGCAGAGCTGAGGCAGGGCCAGCACTACAGGAGGAAACCACGAGGAGAAAACTCCAAACCCTTTGTAACACACAAATCCTCTGGAAAAATGGCATCAGGAATTACCTCTGCAAGGCAATTTTATGGTCATTTATCTCAGCCTTCTCACTGATTCATTTTAAATTGAATTCCTACAACTCCAGGTGCTGGTTACCTTTAAAACAAGTCTGCCACAGGATTTACCACGGACACATGGCTGTCCCTCCCTGAGAGCTGGCTCTGCAGCCACCATGTCCCAATGTCCCCAATATCCCAAATCCCCCCAGTGTCCCCAACGTCCTCAATCCTCCCACTGTTCCCACTGTCCCAATCCCCCCACTGTCCCCAATCTCCCCACTGTCCAAATCCCCCCCACTGTTCCCAATATCCCAAATCCCCCCAATGTCCCCAATCCCCCCAATATCCCCAGTTCCCCCAATCCCCCCAATGTCCCAAATCCCTCCACTGTCCCCAATGTCCCCAGTTCCCCCAATCCCCTCAATGTCCCCAATATTCCCAGTGTCCCCCAATCCCCCACTGTCCTCAATGTCCCTAGTTCCTCCAATCCCCCTAATGTCCCCACTGTCCTCAATGTCCCTAGTTCCTCCAATCCCCCCAATGTCCCCAATCCCCCACTGTCCTCAATGTCCCTAGTTCCTCCAATCCCCCCAATGTCCCCAATCCCCCACTGTCCTCAATGTCCCTAGTTCCCCCAATCCCCCCCAACGTCCCCAATGTCCTCAATGTCCCAAATCCTCCCAGTGTCCCCCAATGCCCCCAATTTCCCTAATGTCCCCAATGTCCCAAATCCCCCCACTGTCCCCAATGTCCCCAATCCCCCCAATTGTCCAATCAAAACGAACTTTGATTTTTAGAGCTTTTTCAGCGCTTTCAGCACTCGGCACACCAACAAAACATTCCAAAAGCAGGCTGGGCAGCAGTGCTGGTGCAGCTGGAATTCTGCCCAGGGCTGGCATTAGTTTGGGGTTATTTTGGGATTAGTTTGGGGTCAGTTTGGGAGCCCAGGAGGTGCAGCTCACCTTCTCCCCCCTGTGCTCGTTGAGCAGCTCCACTCTGCGGCACAGGGTCTGGATGGGCTCCTTGAGGCGCGCGGATCCGATCAGATCCTCCAGGTATTCCAACATCCCCTCGTCGTGCTCAGTCTGCCCCTTGGGCTTCATCATGGCAATCTGCTCCACCTCCCCCTTGGGAAAGAAAAGTTGGGTGGTTCTGTTCTTAATAGGTTTGGGTTTTGGTTTTTTTTTTTTTTCTGGGATGGGGGAAAAGTATTCTGGAAAAAAAAAATCTATGGTGCGAGTATGAGATGTATAAAAAAATAAAATAAGGCAGCAATCAAAATGATTCAAACTGGAATATCACAGAATCATTAAGGGAGGAAAAGATCTTCAAGATCAAGTGCAACCTTCACATTTATTTGGGAAAACAAAGATCAGAATGAAGAGAAATTTCCTCTCCCAGGTGATGTGGAGCCACACCCCTCAGGTCTGACCATTCCTTCACTCTCTAAATATTCAAAATGTGTTTCCCCAACCTAAAAAAAGAAGAAGAGAATAAAGCAGGCCCTTGGCAATAGAGTTTAATCAGGACTGAAGTCCCTGAAGGGTCTCTTTAGAAACAAAGTCCATAAAATCCTGGCTGATGGGTGACCTGGAATTGTAATTCACTTTATTGAGGCTTCCTTGGTGGAGAAGAAAAGGATCCTTTAGGTGTGAATGAGGGCTCCTCTGTGTGATTTGTCTTCATGTACTGCATTAATTGTAAGCGATTTAGGTGGTATTAAAAATAATCTTAATTTTCAAAAATAAGATTTAAAAAGGATTAAACAGAGCCAGTGACAAGAACAGTTTGTGTTCCTGCTGCAGGTGTGACAATACACAAAACCCCAACCCAACCCTTATTTTGATTTCTTGCACATCTCAAAAAGCAAATCAAGCAGTTTGTGAGTAAGTGCTGCTGGATTCTATAAAACCCCAATTACCCATTTGCTCCCTTGCCCCAGAAGTGTGGGTTCTGTCCCCAGAAATGCCTGTTCAGCTCTTGGGGAGGAAACTGTGCAAGCTCCTCAGTGATTCTGGGATTGTCAGAAATCTTTTCTCCTCCCTGCATGAAAGCATTTCCTCTGTTTACATCCACGAGAAAACAATGACAGGAAAGATTTAACTCCATCACGACTCAGAGCTTTCTACACTGGGTTTACAGCCTTTGTGTTCAGTGCTGAAAATCACAAAGCCACCCTGGGTTTAACAGGGAAAAATGGCTATTATGGACAAGCAAGGAATTAATATAATTTTTATTATTTGGCTAAAGATAATTAATCACATCTAAGAAAGATGATGATGCAGTTGTAAGGTTTCTCTGTAGCTTACTAATGTGAATTCTTTAATTACTTTCTTATTGAGGGTAAAAGTAAATATATTTGTAATTATTGATTCAATAATAAGAGTATTATTATTTAATATTTATACTGTTTATTAAGTTAATATATAAAGAAATCTGATTAGTTCAGCTCAGATTCAAAATACAAAAATGCTTCCAGAAAAAACTTAAAAGAAATGTTTCCAGGCAAAAAAAAAAAATAAAGGTTTCCTTTAATTGATAAAGGAGAGTGAAAAGGTTCTACCTGCTCTTCTTGACAATGATTAACAGAGCTACCAGATTTTACAACTGCTAAAACTCAATTTTGGTGCTTCCTAATTAATTACCAGTGCTGATTACTTGATGCACTATTTGAATCACGAATTTAAAAGCCCCAAAGCTCCTTGCTCTTTATGAATGTTGAAATGCCCCGAGGTTGTGAAAGTGAAACCAAGGCGGGGCAGGCCGACATTTATTGAGCAAGGAGGGGAAGGAAAGAGCTCGGGCAGCTCCTCAGAGCTTGGCACCCCCAGCTTTGCCAAGGCTGCCACCAGAAACTCTGGAATTTTGCAATTCCTTCCCTCGGTTGTGTTCCTGTGGCTCAGGGATTCAGGACAGGGAACAATGTGTAAAATAAAAAAAGGAAATGCAGGCTCTGCTCAGACAAACAAAATGGATGTCAACAGCCAGGCATGGCGATGCCAACAAAGAACCAAACGGGCACACAAGGGAACAAAGAAATTCCTGGAAAAAAGCAGCCTTGGATCTGTCCAGGATGACTGAGCTGTGACCTTCCAGTGCCTGAAGGAGCTGCAGGAAACATGGAGGGATGTTTACAGGGGCTGGAGGGACAGCACACAGGGAATGAATGGCTTTAAGAGCAGGATGGTGGATTTAGATGGGATTTTGGGAAGGAATTTCCTCCCTGGCAGGGTGGTGAGCCCTGGCACAGGGTGCCCAGAGCAGCTGTGGCTGCCCCTGCATCCCTGGCAGTGCCCAGGGCCAGGAGTGGGGCTTGGAGCAGCCTGGGATAGTGAAGGGGTCCCTGCCCTGGCTGGGTGGGATTGAATCCCAAACCCTGCTGGGATTTCTCGTTTCCATAACCCACCAAGGCCTTGGGGAACGTTCTACCCTCAGTGCCGGAGCTCGGAATGGAATTACAAAGCCAACAGCAGCCTCTGCAGCGTGGGGAACCTCCCACATCCACGTGGATGCACTGGGATGCAGATACAGAGCTGGAGGTGGCAGCTCTGTACCATGCCCACACATCCCAGCAGCAGTTCCCACAGAATTCCTCAGGGATTTTATCAGGGAACTGGGAATCCTACACCACCCTCATCTGGGGAAACATCTCCAGCCATCGGCTGAGCACTGGGACAAATCAGGACAAAGCTGGCTGTAAAATAAGGGAAAAGCCCCTCTCAGCTGGAAATGGCTCCTCTGGGGAAAAGCTTGAGGAATCAATTCCTGCAGTTTGGAACCTGTGTTTTTGTACAGCTGAGATCTTTTAAGATACTTCCTCAATTTAAGAATTTAATTTTCTATTGTGCCTAAGTAAAGAGGAAAAGTTGAAAAGTAATTTCAGGACTGGCAAACAGCAGCAGCATATTCCAGCAACGATCTAAAATTCTGAATTTGCCCACAACCACTGTTTTCTCTAAAAGCAAGAAAAACACCTCTAACCTGAGTTTATCCAATATTTTCTGGCACACATGGATTGGAATTTTAAACAAGGTTATCTAACTGCCTGATAAAGGGAAGGTTTGACCTATTCATGAGGTTTTTCCCTGTAATTGTGGTCTAGAAACAAGATCCTGCAGAGGGAAATCCCATTTGCTGCACTGTGTTCCTCCTTCCCTCTGGGACTGGGTGTTGTGGAGGGTGAATGGCACAAAGTGCTGATCCCAGCAGGGACAGGATCCGGCCCCACTGGTGTAACTGGGATTGTGGGGCACTGGGATATTGCTGAACTGGAATGAGACACATTTGGGATCCAGTCACCACATTCCATCCTAAAATTCTGCTGTGGGACAGACAGGCACGGCAAAAAGCCTCTGGAATTGAAAAATTACTGACAGCAGCCTGAGAGCTCTTCATGATGAACAAACAACACTTGGGGGGCTGGAAGGGACCTTAAGGGACAATTCCAGGGATCCAGGGGCTCTGGGAATTCTATCCCAGGCAAGAATTACTTCCCAAAATCTCATCCATCCCTGCCCTGAGGCAGGATGAATTGTTCCTGGAAAACCTAGGAAGGTGTTTGTTTTTACTGAATGTTGCTTCCTCTGTGAATCCCTGAATATTTGGGATAAAGTTTTGGGAAGGCAGCACCTGGAAAACCCCGAGTTTTGTCTGAGATGTCACTGCAGCAATCCCGGAGTTCTTTGTCAACGTGCCACGGAATAATTATGGCACAAAAGGAAATAAAACCAGTTTTGTGGGATTTTGGATTCTCAGTTTCTGCTGTTTTAAAGCTCAGCTTTAAAAAAATTGACAATCTCAGAATTCAGTAGCTGGGAATGCACTGTGCCCTGGGCAGGAGATCAGGGAAATTTAGGTGGTTTTTGAGGGGAATTTTGTGGTGCAATTGTGGTGATTTAGGTTTGGGGTTTTTTTGGTTTTTTTTTAAGGGAAGCTTTCTATCACTACTCAGAGAAATTTGACATCTAACTGAAGTGAAAGTCGCAGTTGTGCTCAGGAGAAATGGCTTTAGAGAAAATATTTCCCTGGAAAATGCAACATTGTGGATGAGGAAAACCTTCCCTGGTTGGGGACAGGTGAAAATATAGAAATTTGGTTCAAAATCCTACTAAAACCATCAGAAAATTTAATGTATGACAACTGTGACTATGATAGTTGGTATTTTTAAGCATATTTAATATTTTTAAGCCAATTTTTAAAAATTCAGAACAATATTTTAGTAGCTTCACTGTAGCAGCAGTATAATATTATAAGAGAAAAGCTTTTAAGGTTTTTAAAATCCCCATTAAAAAAAATTTTCTTATTGAGACCCAAATCTTTGAGTCTCAAACTTTACTGTAAGCACCTGCTCCAGCACAATTCAAATTATCCTGTAACTTAATATTTAATAATACTTTAATATTGTAACTTCTCTGCTTCCTAAACTGAGTGATTAGATTAATTAGTTTGCAATTTAATGGCATTACATCAATGAAATGGAATTAATATCTGGATGCAATGATCAGGACATAATTGAATTTATCAAGCATCACAAGATTAAGGGATATTTGTGATTAAACAGAACTATAAATGCATGGGTAATTAAAATTTAATATAAGTAGTGCTTGCAGTTTTAACAACCACCTTAACTATATTTGTCCAAATGTGAAAAACCCATCTTAATTCAAATTACACCCCAATTTCAATTACTTTCTTCACTTTTTTATCATTTTTGAGACAAAAGTGACCCAGCACAGGACAAACTCCTCTTAATAAAACCCAAGCTATATTTTAATCTATTTTCCAATAAAACCCCAAGCTATATTTTTCTCTCTTTTCCAGAGCACAGCAATGTTTTAATTCTCTCAAACACTGAAGCAAATGGAAATAAAGAGATTTTTTAACAGGAGCTAAAACTCCTCAGCATCACGAGGAGCAGAGTGACACAGGGACATTGGATTTGCTCCAAGGAAAATCACATTAAAGCATCTGGAATGTTTATTATAAAGCTTTTTTTTTTTTTATTTCTAAGAGAAAATGATTTAATTCCTGCTTTTCCTTTGTTTTTTTTATTACCCCACTCCTGCACAGGGATTTACAAAATTCATTCAGCTCCAATCCCACCTGGCTGACACAACCTGGAACTGCA